TTCAATCGATGTTGCGTATACAATAGATTTTAAATGTCCTCACAAATGAAAATCTAATGGATTCAAATCCGGAGAACGAGCAGGCCATGCAATAGGACCTCCACGACCAATCCATTTATTTGCAAACTGTTGATTTAAAAATTGCCTAGCCACTCGGCTAAAATGCGGCGAAGCTCCATCATGCATAAACCGCATACGAAGTCTAATATCGACTGGAATTTGCTCTAATATTTCGTGTAAATGCGTGCTCAAAAAAATCAACGTACTTTGTGCCTGTTAGTTTCCCATCAAGAAAAAAGGTCCAATTAAAAATTTATCAATCATTCCTGCCCATACGTTTAAACTAAACTGGTGTTGATGTCTTGACTGCACAATAACATGTGGATTTTCTTTCTTCATCCCAATTATGATTATTATGAAAATTGAATATACTATCCCTGGTGAAACTAGCTTACTAGAGTTTGCTTTGTTTATAAAATTCATTATATCTCATAAACGAAGACAGACAGGACGTATATTTATATGACTTTTTTTTCATTATTTTTAGGCGTACAATCAGCTCCAGAAGTAGGTCTCACAAGTTACGAAACACCCTGTATAACAATAAATCGGGATAATTTCGGCAGGCATATTTGAAACAACTACGATGCGAAATCTGTTATGTGAAATGGGACACGATTAATCGAAACGTACGTGAATTACGTTCTCAATGCCGGATAAGTGACAGAATTTCGCGACACGTAAGCGGCTTTAATCAATTTTCGTCGCACGTTTGGCGAGCAAACGAAAATCAGACATCTGTAAAAATAAATATCGCGTCGATAAATTCCAATTCCCCAAAGACAACGTGTCGCAATGGAAAATCGATTTGCATCGATGAGAACGACACGATAAGAACGTTAAACGCTGTTATCTCTGTGTTTATTTTCAGGAAGTCGTAATTCACGTTCTTGTTGCGCGCTGTCCGACGGGGGATGTTTTTGCAATTGTCAGACGGAGTATATAATCGGGAAACCGGCTGGCAGTCGTTGGTAGTCGAAACTTTGGAGCAACATGAAGGTGTCAGCGACAGTGCTGGTTTCTTTGGTGTCGTGGGTGGTTGCTTATCCAGCGCTGGTGGACTCTGGTGGACTGGAAAATATCTGGGTATTTGATTTCAAAAGCGCGCAAACGCACACTCTGATTATATACACTGCCGCGTTGAATCAAAAGGGCTTGTCTGCAAGTTTCGCTCGAGTCAGGTCTTTAATGCCAAAAAATTATACAAGAGTACTTTACTTATCAAAACGAAAACCTCAGCTGCGTTGAAATTGAAAGTACATAACAGTTTGTATTTCGAAAGTGTATGGGATATGTTGAAAGTTGTTAAAGATAGATCCCGAGGAACTCGCGACTTTTCAGATTCTAGAATAAATGCCGAATGGTCGAACACAATCTTTGTACCAGAAGGTTCCTCACTTTTCCCATTCTACAAGCAGGTCCTCTTTTTCGTTACAACATGTTCATGGCAGCCAAAGTAAATTGCGGTCGTTTAGCCCTAAACATTCGTTGGGATTTCTCACGTTTATTGGGAACTCAGTTCGGTCGTAAATCATCGAAAGCTGAGTAACGACAAGCAAAATCTGTTTTCTGCTTTCGAACAATCGTTAACAGATGTCTAAATACCGAAGACCTTGTTTTCGAAACATCTGCCAAACTTTTGCTCAGCCTATTTGAATTAAGACGACAGAAGAGTGTTCTGTTCAAAATTTCAAAGAGATATTTATATATATATATATATTAATTTAATTTAGGGAGGAGCAAAAGAAGAGGGACAGGACAAGTCGCAAGGTTTAATCGAAAATTTCAAACTGTTGAAAGATAAATTTACGCCGCCGCGATTATTAGAAAGCGCAAAATTCGGGAAACTGGGGATACCTGATCCATCGAGACAGCAGAGCAACGGTAATAAATAAAATAATACGTAAATAAGTAATATTAAACGAGAGTTACGAGAAACTGACGACACTTGTCTTTCGATTTCGAAGAGAACGATGGAGTTTCGACGCCGCCGATTTTCAAATCGCTCATCGGCAAAGACAACGTAATCGTCTCGACGATCTCGAACGTGGTCGAAGCGGCCAAGGGATTGGTCGAAAGGATCAAGGGTAATTTCCAGCAAGATTCGACTCGTACGTAACGCCGAAAATATTTACACGCGGGGAAACACGAATTTTTTTGTATTTCGTAAATATTCGTTTGCCAAATGCTGCTCGTGTGGACTCGTTTATTCGATGCCCGATAAAACGCATCGGTGAATGCAAAATTGAAAAAGGCCGGCGAAAACACGGCAAAGTATTCACTGCGTGAGAACGAGGGCCGATGAAAACGTAATTTATACTTTTTCAGAGGCAGAGCTGCCTTTCCTTGCGCACCGTGGTGACAAACTAACAGGTAACGTTGAGCGCGGCTAAAGTCGCGACATTGAAAAAGTTTTGCCATTCTTTACACAATTGCATTAGTTTATATTAAACAAAATTATATTAGTTTTAACTTTTAACCACTTGTGCTGGCAACTGATTGCGGACCATAACGAGTGACCGTATACAATAATTCGTCGCTTTCTTTTTGAACTCGTCGGTATGATATCACCCGATAGAAATTATTGAGAAGTAATAAATTTGTTATTTGTTTTGCCTTCAATGGGTTATACTTAAATATACTTAAGGGGGGCGGACCTAAAAGTGTGACGGGCCTAAAAATTACATATACTTTGGTGGGCTAGTGAAAAAAAAAAAATCTACATACTTGATTGGCATGAGCTTTTGTGGTTTATTTTGACACATTATGAACTGTAAAAAGAAACATTAGAAAAGAAAAAAAAAGGCTCTTATTTAACTTTTTAACGACATCCTTTTACACAACTTTTTTTTTTAGATTGCCTATCGGTGTGCATGATTCCAGGCAAACGGGATTAGCTGCAACAAAACGGCAAAAAAAATTCGAAAGTAAACAATATTCTCTAGGGACTGACGATCCAACATTTTCATTTTCGTGAAAATTATGAAAATAGCAGCTATTTGTTTTTGATGTATCGAATTTATGCCAAAAATTTCTACGTTTTTCGTTTGTATTTTTTGAAATTGTTAAAAATTAAAAAATATTCCACCGTCAATCCCTAGTAAATGTTACACTAAAGATACGTACCAAGTTTCATCAGTAATCGGTTGGTTAGATTCCGTGATATCTTGCACACCGTTTCTAAAAATCTAGTTTCGAGAAAAACGCGTTCCATGTTTCAGAACGTCATTTTTTATATATATCCTTTACTTTTTTTACTTATATATCGCGGCTCACAGTTCTTACAATTCACAACTAAATCGAATCCAAATCCCCTAATATATTCGCTTCACCAAAAGTAATATTTGAATCACACGATTTACACTTTATAATACTGCTTAAAGTTGTAAACAGTAACACAAATTCAGTTATTCTGTATCCGTGGCGTATTTGTTATTATACCCCAAAATAAGTCGTTTTAAAGACTAGCACCTTTTGTAACTTATTTCTAAGACTTCAAACTACTATTTAAAACAAAACAAAAAAAAATCGAATTTTTTGAAAATTTCACATTGTCCGGTTCCCTTAAAATTGAGAAAATATTGCAGTTTTGAGACAAAAAATTCTCGACGTGCGTGGCACGTCATTCCAGCGCAAGAGGTTAAAGTGACGAGCGAATAAAGAGAAAGCTGTTACTTTTTAAAGGGGTCGTTCCAGGTTTGGACAAAAGTGATTCTGCTCAGCTGAAAGGGTATGAATCAAGCGGCAACGACGATTCTCGGATACCGATAGGGATTGAGAGGAACGCGGTGATAGAGGGTCGCGCGAACAGTTATCGGGAATCGGCAGAAGGCGGCGCGACAGAAGTTGCCGGTGAAAAACGCGCGATTCACTCAGCTGGTTCTCGAGCGTCGTCGGAGGCGGATGGAAAAACAGGTGCCAGCCGTGGAAAACAGTCGGCAGCGTCTCAGGTATCAGCGGAGGAAATCGAAGAAAAATCAGCTGGCGCAAAAAGGCAGAGTCATTCTTCCGTGGAGATTGAGAAAAAGTCGTTAAACAGCGGGGAACGGGAGAGAGTTCCCGAGGATCGGGGAATTTTGTCCGAAAAGCAGCTGCCGGCGAGAGGAGCGACCGACGATCGAGCAGAAGAGTAAAAACGTATCAGACAATCTTAAGATTAAGAAAAGAAATTGCCCAACACCAAGAAGAAGAAGAAGAAGAAGAAGAAGAAAAAGAAAAAGTAACCAGGTGATGAAAATTAATCGCGAAACATGTATCGTTAAAAAGATGAGATAAAGACGATTGGTAAACTGTCTGGAAAAGCTAAAGCTGCTAAAGAAGAGAAAGAGCGCGAGCGGCGAAAACGCTGACGCGGAGATGTCTGTCGTGACGTAAAAAAAAAAAAAAAAATATGACCACGCGCACAGAGAATGCTCGAACGTGAAAGGACAGATAGTTCGTTGAGCGAGGGGATCGATGAAAAATTATCCACTGTCACGCGTAACGATCTGCTCTTAATACTACGGGGAATCAACTACGGCGAAGAGAAGAGGCGACGATCTTTACGAACCATTTCGAGACATTGGCAAAAATCGATGAATAAACAAGTAGTCAAAGGAAGAAGAAGGACGAAAATTTCCATGCGAGAAGCTAGAAAAAAAAGCTCGCTGGAGTATCTCTGATGAGTCGACCGAACGTGTCATGCAAAACACAACGTTCAGGAGAAAATAGTTTTGAAGTATCAATCGGTGTCGCCGGCGATGGGACCGAGAGAGTGGAAGGAAACGAACATGTCGGGATTTCTCGCGTATTTAGCTGCGATCGATGAGTAAGCGATTGTGAACAGCATCGACGTCGCGATAGAGAACGATCGTGAAGGATCTCGTAGTGCGAGCGTCAAGTACGCTAACTACGGGTGTTCAGGCACACGAATAATTACAGAATCCGCTTGCAAATATCCAAACGTCAACGTCTGAATGATTAACAAATGCGTCTGTAGTCATCGTTATTAATACTGTATGAACGGACAAATTACATGCTTTACTTCTTGGTTTGGGCAACTTCGTGTTTATTTTTCGCTACGATAGTCCGCTCCGCTGAATCGCGACCCCGCATCAAACATGTACACATTAATCGAATTATTTTCCGAGTCCGTCGATTCGTTTTGAAATAGAATCTTTTTCGAATTTCCTGGTAACATTTTGACGAGAGCTTAGAATGTCTTTTTTTTTTTTTCAAACAAACTTTGATTTTTCAAGCTTGGTCTAACTTAATTTTTCAAATTTGTAAGAAATCAACAGTTATACCTACAACCAGTCTGAATTGCAATAGATCAAGAAAAATTTTGTATTACAATAATTTCTTATCGTATAAATATTCCACCGTTGTATAGAAAATATAGGAAAGTTCGTTTCGATGACTAAATTGTATTATGTATGTTTGATATGTGATTACTCCAAAAAGTATCACACATGTCCGATGCTTATAATAAAAGGTGCTTATAATCATGTATGTTTTCATATTTCAACAAAAAGCAACATATAAAGCAATAAATAAATTAAAATTTATTATATAACAATATACAAAATATATAAAAAATTTTTATATAAATATATAAAAGCAATATGAATTAAAATTTATATATAATATACTATATATAATAATAGATACATATATATAATATAATATATGTATATATATAAATAAATTGAAATTGAAATTTCTAAAACTTTCAAACTCGCCACTCCAGATGGAAAAAAAAATTCGTTCCTTCATGAAAAATTCTTGGACAGTAATTATTAACAAATACGAAATGAATCGAAAATATTTGGACGATGTTGAATCGCGAAGTCTCTCGGTTCAACTGGTTCCTTCGTGTTTATCGAGGCACTGCGAGTGTGAAAACGCGGAACTGTTACCGGTTGCAATTGCGGATGATCTATATTGGATGTGAACGTTGCGCAGCATGTAGGAAGTTCTGCGGCGACGTCCAATTACGCGTCTCCGGATATACATCATCGGAAATATGAGGCCCACTGACGCAACCCGTTCATTGATGCATTGTTGCCATTGTGAGAAAGTAGCGGTTGCAGTCTTTAGAAAAAAAAAAGAAAAAAAAAATGCACGCCTTTAAAATGTCAACCTGCAATGCGAGATACATTGCGCAATGTCCAGAATCCTTTCTCTCTCTCTCTGGAGAGAGAGAGAAAAAAATATCGTTCTTACGTATATGTATATATATATATTCTATGTATATATATATATATATATATATATAGAGCTACGTAAATAAAAACGGAGCGTTATATATTGTTTCGCGGGCCGAAATTTGAGATGAGAGCAGCCTTCAACGCTGCGTAAAATACAACGCGCTCGAAACGCGTTTCAATTTCGTACGTTCCGAAACATTCGGTTTATTAATCACGTATTGACCTTTGTGAGAGGCCACGGCAGACAATAGACCAGCGAGGCTGGTAGAACGCTTCGGAGCTTGCTTCCTATTGACCGACGTTGGCAGAACAAACCCAACGTACAATTGATTTCGATAGAACGTTATAAACATCCGAGAAAATGACATTAACTGGTTTATCCGAGTTTAACATGGGTCAGGTAGAAAGTCTCGCAGTTGCAACAGACAGGCCGCGCTTTCTTGAAACGTTAATCTCGTTCGAGGCAGAGAATCGGAACAATAACCCGCCGCGTAACACAATTCGATTCCAACTAACAAGCGGAGTGCAAGACATTCCGCGTTACCGCGGATTTCGTCGAAACTCTCGCACACTGGTAGATTTTTTTTTTTTTTTTTTTAAACAAAACGACGTTGCACGAAGAAGTTGAAGTCTCGCCGAGATACAGCTAAACCGAGGAATACCAGCTCGCGTTTATCTGGCGTCGATTGGCTGAAATCGCGATTCATCTGGCGATTCATCGCTCGGTGGGTCGCTGCCAACGCCCGGTCCAGCGCGGCGTCGCTCGCAAATTACAGACTTCGTTAGAATCCCAGTTATCTCGATACCGTCATCTCTTCCCCCCGGGAATTATAAAAACAATTCAGATTTATACCTCGCGGCTTATCACGCGCGGAGAAAGTTATCCGGTGCGCGCGAGCCATGGTTGGTACGTCGCGCGGACAGCGGCCGATAAATCTCTCGCGAGGAAAAGGTCTCGTTTCCAGTAAAGATTACGGACGTTTGATAAAAAGTCATTGTAGTTGCTCGGCGAGAGTGAGTTGTGAAGCAACTTGAACGAAAAGTGAGGGGTGGCACACAAAGTTGGGCATTATTCGAATAATTCTTCGAATAAAATTTTATTTGAATAACATTTCGAATAAATTATTCGATATTTACGAATAACGATTTTATTCGAACACACAGTTGGGCATTATTGCGTATTAAAAGAACGCATATTATCAACAATGGATACTGAAGTATCTAGTACACAGTGGTGTTCCGAAGAACTACTGGAGCCGAATTACAAAGGACGCTACAAGAACTTACCTCGTCCTTTCGGACGAGACTGCAGTTCCCCGACTTGACACACTGACAACGAAAGTTGGAAAATCTACTTTAGTGCAATGTCAGTAACAACAGTAACAACGAATGAAAGAACAGCGGAGAGAAGATGTCCTTATTTTCGTTTCAAGTTTAATAAACGTGTATTTGTACAGAATGCGCTCACAGTGAATTTACAAATACTAACTATCTTATAATTAACTAAAAAACGCATCCCACGATGTCCCTGCGATATCCCTCGTTGTCCATCGGTGGCCCACTGGGGGCCCAATAGTTTACTTATCAACTAATTGTCCCTACAGTTCAGTTTAGACCGCGAAATAAAGAATGGACAGGGATTTTCACGATCTAAACTGAACTGTAGGTTGCGTAGTTCTTAGCTTGATATAATTTTACAAACATTAAAGTTCGCAAAACTTCAGTATTTGTAAAAAGATATCAATTACCAGGTCTCATCACGAGGAGGTGACTACGCACGAGACCCGCCCTGGCCCTAATCCCAACCACCCTACATTACATGCAAATAACTCGGCATTCTTAGGGAATGCCGAGATTTTGTTCTACTTGGCCGGGGAACAAAGGAGACAAACGTTCCATAGTTCAATCTCAAACTTATGTCTAAATCTTAACTCTAAAGCGCATGAGATTCAACTATGGAACTCTGTCTCCCGAACAACGATCGCGTTAACAATCATACATTGCATACATTAAATACAATCATACATTACATACATTAAATATAATCGTATATTACACGCATTACATACATTACATACGATCATACATCATATACAGTAAATACATTACATACATTACATTCATTACATACGATGCAAGTCATACAGTATATAGCAATCATTCGTAGTCTTTCATACTAACCACACACTCATCTGACATGAAAGTTACACAATAATTGTACAATAATTCGCAGCTCTAACAGCGCATTTTGTACCAAAGACACGTTTATTAAACTTTGAACGAAATAAGGGAAACGAAACTACTGACACGCTTCAATATCGTGCCTTGTAAGAGATATAACGCGAAATGAAATCGCGATTTGTCAGTTTGTTAAATCGGGATTCGAACATTTAGAGGCAAGTAGTTTCGCGCTACCTCCAACGACACAGTGGGGTTCCGAAGAACCACTGGAGCCGAATTACAAAGGACGCTAGACTAGAAGAACCTACCTCGTCATTTCGGACGGGGCTGCAGTTCCTCGACTTGTCACACTGGACAATGAAAGTTGGAAAAACTACTCTAGTGCAATGACAGTAACAGAAGTAACTCTACTCTTGTGCAATGACAGTAACAAAAGTAACTCTACTCTAGTGCAATGACAGTAACAAAACTATTTCTGCTCTAATGCAATAACAGTAACAACAGTAACAACGAACGAAAAAAGAGAAGAGAAGTGGTGTCAAGTTTAAGAAACGTGTCTTTGTACAGAATGCGCTCACAGTGAATTTACACATATTTACTATCTTATAATTAACTAGAGCTAAACGGACGCAACTTAAAGCTAAGACGCACGCATCCCTCGATGTCCCTGCGAAATCCCTCGTCGTCCATCGGTGGCCCGCTGGGGACCCAATAGTTTACTTATCAACTAATTGTACCTACAGTTCAGTTTAGATTGTGAAATAAAGAATGAACAGAAATTTTCAAGATCTAAACTGAATTGTAGGTTGCGTAGTTCTTAGCTTGATATCGTGTCACAAACATTAAAGTTTATCGTTTACCGTTTTACAACTTAGCTTGATAATGTTTTACAAACATTAAACTTTAATGTTTGTAAAACGATATCAATTACCAAGACCCACCACGTGGAGGTGACTACGCACGAGTCTCATTATAGTGTATTGTAAATCAGTACTATTTCATATATTTCTCACACAAGTTTCAACTTGTATTGAATTTAAGTAAAGAATTCGTAAAATAAGGCATAATTGTTTGATCGATATAATGTCTATTTAAAATATTGAAGAATTATTCTTGTTTGAATAATAGTAAAGAACTATTCTAATTAATAGTAAAGAACTAAATTATTTTTCAAATTTTAGATTCAAAGAGAAATTCTGGTAACGTATTTCACGGTAATTGTTAAGGAATGGTAACTAATAAAGTATATCTTGTACGACTACGATATAAGTCATGGAAATTGAACTCGTATTCAAGTTCAAATAATCATGATCAAGTATTATCCCAACACCAAAGAAACCAAACCATGTAACTTACCAATCGTTGAAGTCGGAATTGTAGATTGAGATTTGGTTGCAGACATATTATTTAAAAGTTTTCTGCTAATTTTTGGTCGATGGACACGACAGAATTTCAATTCGTAATTGACATTACTCCGTATCGATTGACATTAAGCTGATCTTTCGGTCGTTAATGACACGATACAGATAATGAAAATTTCTTAGAATTTTACTACAAATGATTAAAAATTTTAAATAGAACTTAGAAATTTTATAGTAGAGAATTTATTGTTTAATTGTTACAAATAAATTATTAGAAATATTGGATAATATTTAAACAA